CGTGTGTGTATTTGCAAATGCTTTGTTCCATACAGGATACATTATTTCCTTATCAAAGCAAATGCTATATCATTTTGTCTCAAAAAATATCAATAAAATTCAGCTACCTTTGAAAAACATTAACAAAAAAATTTGGGTGAGGTTAGTTAGTTAGTTACAGACACAGGATTCAGTCTAACTCAGCGATGGAAAACTGAGTGCAAACTGGGCAAGAGTTCTCAGAAACCATGGAAAAGAGCTCAACATTCTCTCCTCAACAGGCTGCATCTCCAAAACTGAAGCAGAAACACATGCTCGTGCTTTTTGCTATTCAATCAGAGTTTTATTTGCTCTTTCTTGCTTTGTGAATCAGCAACTAAGGAAACTTTTGTTATAACTAACACAAAGCTGGGAGTCTAGCTATCCTTGTGAAAGCTTATTGCTTGTATTTCAAATTCCTTAATACATGGAAAGAAATCTCATCCCATTTTTTGCATAGCTTATTTCCCAACATTTAATTAACCTGACACTGACATTCTTTGGTATTCCTGCAAAAGAGCAGGATTCCAACTTTAGCTGAAGTGTCCTCTTCCTCCTGTATAATAAGCTTCTAATTTGCCATTCCTAAGACCTTCAAACACAAAACTTGAGTAAACCTATCGTCACAAGTTTGTCTCTCTGAAAGAAAGTTTAAAGATGCATTAGACTGCACACTGCAAAAAGGTACAGTCTATTCAGGGCCAGGTAGTTAACACGCCCAAGTCAGTCCAAATCTGCTAAGAATATGAAAACAAACAAAAAAATTGGTTGCTTTATTTTCCAGAGTTATTCCTATGCCTATTCCTATGGTACACTAGATATTTGTACATCTCTTGCTTGTACCGTCTCTAAGAAATATAATCTAAGGCCTGGAGAAATTCCAGATCTTTTAAGGCAGCTATATTATGAAATTCTGCTACAGCTATTCACAGGAAAAAAAGAAACAATCAATAGCTTAAGAAAGATAAGTTTTTACATGATTTTTGGATATTCAGCAAATTATTTTGAATCAGAACAGTAGGATATTGGCTTCTGGTAATGTGCATGCTTACGTGAAAGGGCAGAAAATGAATGAGAAACATTGCACAATTGACAAGGTGGTAGAGACGGAAGGACAACAAGAAAAGTTATTTCTCTCTACTTAGTGAACTTTGAAAAAATTACTAGCTAGAAAAAAGCAGCTCTGGCATAACAAAGAACATATCCCTTACTATTCAATTCCCAGTATGAGCAGTGCTCAGGAGGGTGCAGGTCAAGGAGATAGAATTGACAGACATTGGAGACGTGAGTGTGTAGAAGAGGGTGTCCTTAGTTGCCAATGTTTCACGACCAGTTGCTTCAGTTTCTCTCACAGCATACTAGTTTAATTCTCTGGTTTGGTCAAAATTCCACCCACCAGTGATTATTAATAACAAAACCAATTTCTTCTGCTTCTTATCCATTAGCTTTCTATTCCACCATGTTGAGAGATCTAAAAGACTGTGAATGAACAAGAGAGAAGACAGATTCCAGCTTTGGCACTATTTTGGTGAACTAAGAAGTGAACAGCATAAGGGAGAATGATATGGTTGCATTAAGGGAAAACATGTTCAAAAGCTCAGGAAAATACATAGAAGTCTTGTCCTTTCTCCAGCCACAATTTAAAAGGTAAGAGGATGGTACACAATTGGATTTCAAGAACTGAAAAACTTCAGGTTGAAAGTATTTTTAAACTAAATACCAACAGCATAGCCTATGAGAAGTCAATCTATATGTGCTTTTTAATGTAGCGTTGAGACTGTAGAAAATCAGTAGTCTTCAGTTATTTTTTTCCACATTCAACCTCATTTGCACCACATTCAGCTTTTTTTCATAGATAGCACTCTTTCGGCTGGAGACTACAGCAGAATCTATCATTGTAAGGCTAAATTGACACTCTAGAAAACCCTGTTCCTTGAATAACTTAATTTGCTGCTACGAAGAAGTTTATCTTCCTTAACTTGTTTCAAGTGCAGTGTCAGAAAGTCAAATAGCAAAACTAATTAAAAAACAGAAACGTGTTCAGGATTTGATCAAACAGTATGTTACACATAACAATATACTAGTTTCTCAGAAATATACTCAACACATGAGCTCAATACTCCACCTGTAAAAACAGAGAAAGCAGAATATTTTAAATGAAGTTTTAAAATGACAAATATTTTGTTAAAGATACAGGAAGATTAACACAATTTGAGTGAATATTAAATAATTCATGAATAGAATTAATTAAAAATGTATCCAAGTTCCAGTTTACTTTTAAAGTATTCTCAGGGAAAAAAAAAACAGTAACTCTGCAAGGCCATTTACACAGGATGAAAACTTACAAACACCAGTTAAAAAAATAAAAATAAAACCATCAGTCCACTGAGGAGACTACTGCAGAAGATTCAACACAGTGATTTCTGTTTTATCATGTTGGATAACTGTATTGTGCAGGATGAAGACTACATGCAGTAACAGTACTTCAAACGACCACTGCAGAATAACAAGGACTTACCAAGCTACACATGAAGATTAAAAGTTGATCCCTTTGGACTTTTAACAAATAGATACAACTATACAGAATATCTAATAATCCCCCAAAGCATGCAGACAACTTCCCATAGCAAGACAGCAAAAGACAAAATTTGAACATCAGAACATTTTCCAAGAGTCCACTTGAACACTCAAATCCAGATTCCTGGAAAAACGAGTAGGCATCTACTAAATATTTAGTTTCTAAGGAGTCCATACACCCTACACATCATACTTCCAGGCTCCCTATAACAAACTTGTGGGGGGGTGGATGAAAACCCATAAATACCATGTGCAACAGGAAGCGAGCTGGAGAGACAGAAGACTTCATCCGAAGTTTTGAATTCTTATAGTAGCAAGGAAATTGTTAGCCAAAATCTCCAAAGCAATAGATAGTTCCTGCCAATCTGACATGGACAGATTCTGCAAACCTAGTACATTTTTAAACCTTGACCAGTTACCATGGCATATCAGCATGTCATAAGCAGAAACTCCAGTAAACCCCATTCTATACTTCAGTACTCGAGAGGAAAGACAACCTCTATATCCTCACATAAATTGAAGAAGAAACAATTTTTTTCCTGGCCCCTGAGGGTAACCGAGGGGAACTCCGAAACACAAAACTAATGCAGTATAAATATAGGAGAAACACACAGTCTACAAGTAGCAGTATGATCACCTTTCAGCATCCCTTGGACTAATCAATAAATTGGATGCCCAAGGACTTTACTTGGAAGCTTACATTTTATCTACTTTTCAAGCTCTCTTTAGCTCTATTTTGCTCACTACTCTTGACTACTGTGCTAATTAGAAACCTTAAAATTTCCACTGTAAACTTATTCATGTCCAATACATATCCAAATTAGGATTCACAAACTTAAGTGATACTGGTGCAACAGGGGAAATACAATCACATAACAAAACAAATAATAAATAGCGAATCATCCATCCTTGAAACAGACTGTATGTACTACTCTGAGAACAGCAGAACTAAATCCAGAAACTTGTCTGCTAGTTATAGAAGTTGTCCCACAATCCTCCCTCATCAAACTCGGTTATCATTCATTCCTTATACAACTCCGTTCAGGAACTATTGACTTTCAGACTTCATCAATGGGTGGCATCACTTTTTAAATTAAAATTCTGCCTGTGAAAAGATTCAAAATCCACACCTTCACAAGAAAACTTCACTGAAATGTATCATTGTGCCCTGCAAATTTTCCAGTTTCCAGGCTTCAGATGGGCCCCAGATACCACTGAGTCCTCAATACATATTCTAGGTTAGAGAAGACAAAAAAAATAAGGGGGGGGGAGAAAAAAGCAAATTGAAGTAGCCATAAGCTAAATATAAAAGAATTTGTGCATAGCAAAGAAAATATTTTGACAGCATTCTGTAGGTGTAAATAGCTGTTCTTAATCTCTAGCACTCATACAGTTAGCGATATACAGGAGCCAATAATAGTTTTCTGTGCTCTTGTACTATTTTGTTCATGCTTTGATCTGTCAGGCAAACTGGTGTTTTTACTAGACTGGAAGTTCAATCAGACTACACTGTTGCTGAGTTTCTAAGGAAACAGACCCGCTTGTCCTGATTCCCCCTACAGTGGGGAGCTTGTACTCTATCTCCCTGCAATTTTCACCCTTCTTAGGAAGCAACAGGGTCTTTCTGAGGAAGACTCCACTGTCTTGTTCGCCTGACACTAGCCACATGATAATGCTGATGGGCTGCTGGGATGCAGAGGGGCAGATGGGCTTGGCACCAGGCCAGATTGTCTTTCAATTGTATGAATTCAATCATCCCAAATCCAGTCCCAAAAATGCATTTCACAAGTGACGTGGGCAGCGAGTGCGGGTAGGCTTGAGATCAAATTAAGGACGCCTCAAAGTGCAGTGCAGCCATCACCCCAGTGTTTTAATGTGGCAACATTATGTGGTATATTTACCCAAAAAGCTGGGGCGCTACACATGAAAATACATTAGAAATGCTCATAGGCAGAAGCCTTTGTTTATATGGAAGACAAAACATTTTAAAACACTCATTTCAAACACAAGGGGTATAAAATCAAACACAAAAGTAGCATGCACTCATGACTATTTAATTTATAGCAGCAGCAGGTGTTATCTCCTTCTTCGGTAGTTCTAATCTTCATTTGCCAAATGCTGATTTGGCAAAATATAAAGAATACAAAAAACTATGCAAAGCAACAATGTCAGAGATTAAGCTCCAAATACAATTACTTTTCTTCCATAATTTCTTATACTTGCTTTCAAATGTCATATAGTCCTGCTGTGTATTTACTACAGATGTAAAACAAATGCATGTTATCTTTTTCATGAAAAAATGAGAGCAGAAGAAGAAAACACTTAGATACTCTAAAGCATATTTCTAAAACTGCAGCAAGTACTTTGACAATATCTTTGAAACAAATAAATGAGTTTTTCCTTACCTCTCTAAGATGCATGTTTTCCTTCTCCTTCTGATCTAAAATCACTTCTAAATGATTAACCTGAGATTCAGCCTCTGCCATCCTTCGAGTTCTCTCATTGTCATCTTCCATTCCTTTAGATGGCAAACCTTTACTTTGCAACATCTCCAGAAGCTTTTTTATTGATTCATCTCTGGCATTTAGTGTTTGCTTTTGCGTTTCAATCCTAAGCTCCATTTCTTCTAGCGTTTTTCTCAACAGGAAGAGCTCTTTAGCTTGCCTATCATGTTCTGCTTGAAGTCTTCGGAAATTCTCCTCTGTGAGCTCAATGGTAAAATGCTCAGCCCCTCGGTTTCCACTTTCTTGCTGGAGAAGATGGTTAAGGTCTCTCTGCGTTCTAAGCTCATCTTGAAGAGCCTGGATTGTCATTTGCAGATGCTGCAATAACAAAAAGAAAAAAAAAAAATCAATTTGGGATCTGAATGTAGGATTAGTCTTTGATTAAACTTTTGCTGTATGTTGTTACAAAAATTCATTAGAATCCGTGATAATAGTATATCAAATGACCTTATAAAATAGCAAATGCATGTGACTATTTGTAATGATATCTTTCAAGTGCTTCTAGAAAAAAAAAAAGACAACACACACACACACAAAATAGTGTCAGCTACAGACAAAATAAATAGCAAAGAAAGGCAAACCAACAAACCCAAACACTAGGCAGTGACACATCCATTAGTACAGTCAATATGTACCTATAAAGCTGAAAGACTCAGTATTCCATGTTTTCTAAATGACTTCGTAGACTAAAGGTCATTCTGGCCTTCATGGTGCTCAACAGTACTATTGTTCATAAAGTCAGTCAAAGCACTCACTATAATTGAAGGGGGCTTTGGGGAGGGGCTGAGTTGGGGCTGGTTGGTTTTGTTTTTTTTTCTTTTGGCAATGAAAGCTATGAACATGTTTAGTAAACAGGATTACTGTATCTCTAACAAGCAAACAAAAAAACACAATAAGCAGTACTGAATTTTGAAAAATAAATTGACTGCAAATAGTGGACAAACCTTTGTTCTCCTGGCATCCAAAAACTGAACAGCATGGTAAATGAAAAAATGAAGCAAAATCAACATAAATAAAGGTCAGATGCAAGCAAAGGAGATTCAACAGAAAGAACTTAATTCAACAAAAAGTACCTTCAACAGAAAAAAATTTTATTGAGTTATACAGAAAGGCACCAACAACTTTACAGTACTCAAATATATAAACCTAAACTATAGACAGACTTTACTCAATAGATGTGACGAAGAAAAACGTATTAGAAATAATCAGTCCCACAGTGAATAACATTCCTATTTTATCTTACTGTACACTTTAAGATTTTTCAAAACGCAGTAACTTGTCCCAAAACATTTCTACTGCATCTGAGTACAGGGATCTTTCTCTGTTCAAGAGCTAAATTTTGCACTCCTTATTGAACACAAATCAAAATCAAAAAGGATTTTGCCCATGTTGAGGTTGGAACATAGATAATTATCCTCGATTACTATGGTTTATGATGTTCATTTCAGATTATATTTTTATCTGACAATTTGTTTTTCTTCTTATTTTTTCCCCTCTATTCACTGCCTACACATCATGCTGAATTTATAGAAATATGAATTCCTGAATAGTCACACAGTCTGTACCATTAGACATTTAATTGCAGGAATTAGGGGACTTAAATGCATGGCACCAGACTTTTTTGCATTAATGGATATTCTGCAACTCCACATTCTTAAAAAAAAAAAAAAAAAAAAAAGGCCAAACAAACAAAACTTCATTTCATATGATACTACCTTCATGTTTAGCACAATGACATCTAAAGCTGTCAGTTTGTAACAATAATTTAAACTAAATGAAAAATGCAAAACCTTAAGAAAAATAACCTTTTGAAATCATGTCTTTTATCAGTTATTTCAAATGGAAAAAAGTATCGCCAGTGATAGAATTCTGGACAGTTAGACACTTTGAATCTGTTCTATCATTAAATAGCACTGTTTTAATAAATGTCCAGATCTTAATTCTCTTAATATTTGCATGTTATTGGGCACACACTCAGTTAAGAGCATACAAATGTAGGCTACTCATTTATAGCCCTGCTTTTATTTAACGGTAATTCTTATCTTTTCTTGATCTCATCATCTTTTTAATCATTTATATAAACTTAAAAGCTCCCAATAAACTTAAAACTCCTCTAGATGTAGCAATTTTCCCACTTTAAATCTACTAATATACTGAGTGTTTATGACCCCAAGACTGACAGTTTTAGCACAGAAATTCAGTGCATAGATCCAAATCAAATTTTCAAATAGTACATAAATTATATTCAATGATTACCATGAATGAGTGAATTAACAAAGACATGGGAAGGCAATGACAAAGAGGGACAGATGCTGCAAAGCAAACAATCAAAACCATTTCTTTTTAAATGCTTTCTCACTATGTTAAGTCATAGGGACATAATTTTTGTAGATCACTTTAACCAGCCAATACAGTAGTTTTTGTGACGATTCCAAACTAAATCACATCTTGCATTAGAGAAAACAGACTTTACGATACTCTCTAATCCTTTGTAGCTTTGTCACACTGAAAGTTGGAGGAGAGTAGATATTTGAAATCACTGAATTAAAAATAATTCAGTTTTTACTAAAGAGATTGCAAGTTTCCTTTATACAAGAAAATACGATTTTTCTTCACTAGTATTAGAGCAGAAACATGGATGAAATCCAGGTTTAAAAGTATTAAAAAGGAAAAAGAAAACGAGAAACCACCTTGACATTACATTACATTCTTCAATATATGACTATTGAAATGGAAAAGGCAAAGCAGCAGGCAAAAGTAACATTTTGGCTTTTAAAAAAAGTAAATTCTCAGGAAAAAACATGACAGGCACCTCAAAAGAATACATTGGAATATCTCCATTCTCATCTTCGAGCACATTTTAGCTTAGCTGATGATGTTGCTACTTTAAAATTATACTCAATAGTTTGTTTCAGTGGCATGACTGGTAAGGGATTTTATTTTTTTTTTAAAGTATTTAAGAACTCATAATGTTTCTGTCTTGAAGGCTCAAGGAACAGGTTCTTTTTCTGTTCAGGTTTTGTTGTTTTGACTGGTTGGGGGTGACGGGGTGGGTGGGGTGGCACGTGAATCCCAGCTTCTGACAGAACACAATTACGCATGAGACTCTCAGCTTCCACTTACAAAAATACATTTTTATTCAAAGCCTCCAATGGAAACTGTGAGTGTTGCAAATGTGACAAAAATTAAAAAGACCACAATCAAATAAAAAATAAAGTTTATATAAAATTTTTCATTCAATCTTATAATTTAGGGAAACAACTTCATTTTTTATGACTCTGGACTTGGGATCATATAACTGACCTATCTGATGCATCTTTACTTGTTTTTCCTGTTATGGAAGGAAGCCTTGGTTAGATCTTACAGAAAATTTTCCAATGAGTAATTATGGAAAAATAGATTTGTATCGATTTAAACTATTCATAAATTTGCATCAAGCTTGGCAAACAGCGCCTCTCAAAAGCTCAAAAGAATTCAAGAAATATTTTACTTTTTTTTCTTTTTAAATTAGAAGTTTAGTCTTTTAAACTTTTTAATGCTGTTTTAAATTGTCTTTTGTTTTTTAACGGAGTTAGAATTTTTCTAAAGTGCTTCATTTTGATCAAACAAAATTTCACTCAACATTATACAAATAAATATACAAAGAAATCTCCCTTTTAATTAGTTAATTTTCAAGTTGGTATCCACATCAGCTATCAGCCAGAGTTTCAGTCCCAGGGCATTTATTTGAAGAATGAACCTCATATCTATACATTCTTCAAAAGAATGACTGGCTGAAATAACACACATATAAAATTTACTGTGCATAAGCACAGTAAACTAAATCCTCTGCATTCCAAAATTATTTCACTACTAAGCAACAGCAATATTCAGCAACTACCAGTAGTCTAGAAATAGTCAAAAGAAAAGAATTGTTTTCTCCAATCTGAATAATGATTTAAGATACGTCCTCCTAATGTTACATTAGACAATATTTATTACTTGATGATAAAAACTATTTAAAAATAAATGTTTTCCCAAAGTCAAGCAGTCTCTGTACACCAAACACCTATATATCTATAAGACTCTAGCTAAGCAAAGGGAAACTCATTTCTAAAATATTTAAAATGTTCTAAGACAAAAATAAAAGCAAACTTAACATACACGTTGCCAACATACAACCCTTCTGAATGCAACCTGTAAAAGCCAAAACTGGTGGACCAACACACAAATAATTAGAAATCAGAACTCAAACAGCAATTCTGGTTAAGATAAACCAGACAACTTCCTCTTCTGTCCCACAGCAGCCCATGTATGTGGTCCTCAGGTTCTGCCCATAACCGTGTTTGTCACTAAGCACAACAGTAGTTGTGGCTGCTTCTCAGTAATTATGTTAAAACTAACAGCCTCAACTGTGGCAGACTACTGCTACTTTGACATCAGAGAATCCATTTTTGTATACCTTCAAGACTTAGAACCCTCTTTGAACATGATGGACCAGATTTAGACTTGTGCTGGCACAGATTTTTGTATCTGCAGCTAGCTAAGAGAAGGAAAGAACAAATGTTGTGAGGGTGGAAAGAAATTGTATAATTAATTGCAGTAGGGGAGGAATGTAGGAGTGCTGTGAATATCTGTCACACTGCTGTCATTACACAGATATAGAACTGTATGGGATTTAAAAAAAATAACAAGCAAGATCTATCTTTTTTTCCATAATTTCTATTAAAAACAGACCAGTTGACCAGAAATATTTCCATGCCAATTTCTTGGTAATAAATAGTTCTCTCAGAACTTTTTCATTCCTTCTCTATAGCCCAAATCCAAGAGGCAATCCATCGAACTGCACAGGAGGTTCCATTAATCTTTCTCTCAATTAAGCATAGTGCAGGTTTTCAAAATTTGCCCCCATAAATTGAAACAAAAGTATGAAAGGAAGATGAATTAATGCCCCTTCCCAGATTCCAATTCACATTCTACCTCTAATCTGTGCCAACTGGCTGTTCCCAAAGGAACTGCCTGCAGAGAACTGTCCTGCCACAGTATGCCTTGGGCCAGCGCTCACAAGCACTTTCAGACCATCCCAAAGCCTTAGATATACGGTGAACAGTGGAGGAAAGGGAAATCACAAGGAGACTCACTGAAAATTGTTAGTCCACCTACAGAAGTACACAGCTTCTTGTACTTTGCCCCATCAGCCTGGCACCAAAAGCAAAGAAGTTGAAGAATCCAGTCTACTGTCATGTAAAAAATTGCCTGCTACCAACACAGAAGGGAAGTGACAAACCTTGTTTAAGGTCAAGAAAGAAAGAAATTATAGCTGGGGCTGTCTTGACTGG